ACCTAGTGTTTTTGCATTAGATAAAACACATTTAGGGGGTGTCAGCAGGTTTTTCTCAAAAAAGTTGTTTTTTGGACACCCCTAATATATATATATATATATATATATATATATATATATATATATATATATATATATTATATATTTATGTATATAATATATATATATATATAATATATATATATATATATATATATATATATATATATATATATATATATATATATATATATATATATATATATATATATACACTCAAGTCTCTTTAACATCAAATTTAGTATATATAATTAGTAACATATATTTAATATATTTATAATAAATAAAAAAATGACTTAGCTCATTAGCTCGTTGTAATTTTGATGTTATAAAAATATCTTTATTTTTTTATTATTATTTAAAGACATTTTTTAAACTACCTCAATAAATTTAATTACCTCAAAGCAAGTTTATTTTACTAATTAATAAAAACAAATCTAGAAGTGTTATTTTGTAAATGTACATATTTTGGAATGTCTATTTTGTTTCAATTTTAAATTTTTTAAATTTTAAATAATTAAATTTACTATTACATTTTTTATTATCATTTAACATGAATTAATTTCTTTCTTTTCTCAACATTTGTATAAGTGAATTAAAATGTTTTTCCTTTTTTTTATTATTTCATAAAATTGCAGCTTTGAAATAATGATTTTTATACTTTTAAAAAGTTATTAATGAACAAAAAATTTTACTTGTTGCAAAGAAAAATACTCAAGTTAATTACTTTACCAGCGCTTTTTTTGTTGTTGTGACAAACAAAGATTTAAGTACAATTTATTAAAATACATATACTGTTGTGCTTTCACTTGCCTGAAGACAAAATAGTTAAATGTACGCTTTATGAATACTTTTGATGCAGTGTCTGCATAGAATTTAATTTTTTGTAAAAAATAGAAAAGGAGGAAGAAAAGCCGAGAAAAAAAAAACAATTTTTTTAAAATTTAAATTCTCCCTTAGTTATAAGGGAGAATTTAAATTTCTGTTTTCACTTTTTTGATACCGCACAATCTGTCATTTATATAATGCTGATGTAACTATTATAAAATATTATTTTTCTAAACTGTTATTTTTTGCAAAATAAAACTTAGAAATATAAACGAAGACATTGCAAGAGCTATATTGCTTCAAGTGTAAATTCAATCAAAAAATTGATAATAAGGTAAAGAAATACATATGCTTGCCAACAGCTGCTGTTTTGCCAGAATAGTGGATAAAACACTTGCTCAGCTGTGCAACAAATTATTATATTAGTAAAAAAAAAAATTTAATATTTTTCCTCCTTTTCTTTTTTTTGATGTTCAAAAGTTTTAATTTGATATCCAAGAGTTTTCTGGTGGAATTGTTCACCATCCATTATTAAATAAGATTTTAGTTTTTTCTTATAAATAGTTGTGTTTTTTTCATCACGGATGTTATTTGGAAATATATTCCAAAGCTTAGGACTATAGTGGGATAATGCTCGATTACCAAAACAATTGCTGCATTTTGTTTTCTTTAATTTTAGTGTTCTTTCTGACATTGAGTAGTGAAATAAATTGCATAATGATGTTGTTGCTTTCAGTATAGTAGATTTGTGCATTATTATTAGAACCTTGAAATATATTCTTTCAGCCAATGCAAATTGTTAAATTCCTGGTCGTTTACATGATTTTTTATTATAGTTTTAAATACTAGTCTTGCTGCACAATCTTGAATAGACTGCAGTTTTTTTAATAGTGGCTTTTCAATTCCAAAGTAAAAGAAGTTGCAATAATCTAGCTGTACAAATATTAGTGAACATACTATGGTACACAGATCTTTGTGTGATAAGAATTATTTTATTTTGGATATTTTGCTTAACACATTGTAGCAGTTTTTAACAATCTTATTTATTTGTGTTTTTAAAGATAATTCATTGTCAAGTATCACCCCTAAACTTTTTTGCTGAGTCAAAAAATCTAATGCATTCCTTGTTAATAAAAGTACCTTTAATAATAATATCTTTTTGAATGCTAGGTGGCACCATAATTAATATTTTTGTTTTCAATTGGTTAATACATAAGAATGATTCGCTCATCCATTTAGATATATATTCAAGACATTTTGGTATATCTAGGACTTGTGCATTATATTGAGATGAACGAAGAAATGCTTTTAGAGTTTGATGATCATCTGAGACAATCCATGCTGCTTTTATTCCAAATGACATGGTGGTTTTGTAAATTTCTTTGCATGTTTTGGATCAAAATTTCTTAAAAAATGCCTATTATAATCTGATGTGTTTTTCTTTGTTTGGGATATTTAAAGACCAGACCTGAGTTTTCTGATTTTTTTACTAAAATAATTGTTTAAGTTGTTAGTTAGTTCTTCATCTGAATCAGCTTTTGGTAGTACATATTCTTGAGTTTTATCTAGTAGCTTGTTTATCAATGAGAATAGATTTTTACTTCGTTTTTACTAGATTTCTACTAGTGTTTTTATTTAATAGGTTAGAGAAATATGTTCTCTTTTTTATTCTATGAAAAAAATTTGGGCAGCATTACCCCCTGGCCCTAAGAAATTTAGTGGAAAATCTGCATTTTTTAGCAAAAAAAAAACAATAGTTGCCATAAAAAACGCAAAAGAAAAAAAAGCTGTCGAAAATGGTCTAGAATAGCTCCTGAGAGTTATATCAATAAGTCAGGGCCTATTCTGAAAAAAAAATTTGGGCGGCAGAACCCCCTCATTCTGGCAAACTTTAGCAGAAAATCAGCATTTTTTTTGCAAAAAATTTGCTGTAATATATATATATATATATATATATATATATATATATATATATATATATATATATATATATATATATATATATATATATATATATATATATATTATCAGAATAAAAATATATATTTTTATTAAATTAGTTTTAAATTAAATCATATATATATATATATATATATATATATATATATATATATATATATATATATATATATATATATATTTTTTTTTTTTTTATATATATATATATATATTATCAGAATAAAAATATATATTTTTATTAAATTAGTTTTAAATTAAATAATATATTTTTTTCTCAGAATTAAATTATATTTTTATGATCTTTGCTTTAAGTTTAAAAAATCAATCATTCTGATAAAATGGAAACAAAGTAAAAATAAACTTTTAATTTAGTTTAAGTTTTTTTCATTAGTAAATAGGGCTTGTATCAAACATTGTCATTTAAAATTTTTTAACAAATATTTTCACATAAACGTCATTCAAATGTTAATGTGACTTTTTTTTAATTAGTTACTTCTTTTATCTTGCTCTCACATTGGGGAGAGTTATGACCAAAATTTTAGGGCTTTTTTTGTTCCCAGGTTCTAAACATATAAATGTTTAAAGTTTATCAAACAACAAAAAATGCTGGATCTGTCCCTGATATTTTATTTTTCACTAAATAACATTTATTTATGTTTTGAAAAATGCAAAGAAAATAGCTAAAACATTCTGTTAATAGTTGTCATGAATGGGCTTAACTTTTTTTAACTAAAAATTTTTAGCTTGATTTAGATGCAGTCTTTTTGATTTTGACAGGATATTTATATTATTTAACTATTTGCACAATTGTTTTTTTAACTGTTTGCAATACAAATACCAACATTTTTTTATTGTGAGAAATGCTTTTTTAATTTTAATTTCAGATATTTAATTTTAAATTATATATTTTTTTTAATTAATTTTTTTTTTTAAATTATATTAATTTATTTTAAAAAAGAGTATTAAAGAATAAGCTTTTAATAAAAATTATAAATAAATATAAAATAAAAATTATACATAAATATAAAACAAAAATTATATATACATTATTGTTTTTTAGATAAGTAATTTTATTACTAAATTATAAAATAAAACATTTTGTTTATTTTGGTTGTTTTTATTTATATTAATTTATTTAGAATTAAAACAAAATGTTGGTTTTGCCATTTTAATTTTAATTATTACTTAAAATTAAAATGAAATGTTTGATTTTCCATTTTTATTTTAATTAATTTACTTAAAATTAAAATAAAATATTTGATTTTCCGGTTTTTATTTTAATTTATTTAAAATTAAAATGTTTGATTTTCAGTTTTTGTTTTAATTATTTTATTTAGGATTAAAATAAAATGTTTGTTTTACCTTTTTTTTTAAATTAAAATAGTTCTGCATGATAAATAATATTTATAGTTATTATGTTTAAATAGTATTTATATTCAATTTTTTCTAATTATATTTATGTTTATTAAGTTTAAAAAAATATTTATATTTACTTTTTTTTACTATATATTGTGCATATTTAATATATTTAGTCAGTCAATGTATGTAGGCTTTACTTCACAATTTCCTATTTACGTCACATTCAAACATATATATTATATATAATAAATTAAATATTTAAAAATGATAATAAAAAGTCAACATTTCACAATCTGCACAACAGCACTATTCAATTCATAAAAGCAAAAAAGTGCACATTTTGTGAAATGCGCAGTTTCACTATCAGTGCTTATCACTAAGTCTTCTAAATATTCTCAAATTCACGCTTTTATGTTCTTTATATCATATCATTAATAGAGTTTGTAATTATTTTAAAATTTTTTAACTAGACAAAGACGATAAAAGAAAACCATGCTATTGCCCTCCATGTACAGCAAAACACGGCTCTTTAACTAAAAAAGAGCCCGGAAAGAAAATAACTAAATTGATTGTGTAAGTTTTTTTTTACATTTTTAGTTTTACCCTTGGTTTTAATCTGTCAATAATATTTAGAAATTTTAAAAAATCTTGATTACAAAAATACTCATTATTTCAATTATATTTTAATTAATAGTTTTTATTTTTCATTAAAAAGTTGGCAACCTTTTATGAAATCTTTTATTAAGGTTGCTTTTTCTTTTGTTTTGTTTTATAGATGTATGTATAGGTTTCCTTTTAATAGTTTATAATGCAAT